TAATTATATAAATTAAATTTAATTATTATATAACAATTAATTTTTGGAAATATTTATAATTAAAACATAAATCTAAATTAATATTAAAAAAATATAAAATATAAAAATATAAAATATAAAAATATTATTTAAAATACAAATATATATAATTTTAAAATAATTTATTAAAGAATTATAATATTAATAAATATATTTAAAAAAAATAATATTAATTTTAAAATTATAATAAATAAAATAAAGAATATTTTTTTTTGATAATAATAATATTTAAATATTATATAAATAATTAAATATAATTCCAAGATAATTATAAAATATAACAAATATTAATTTAAATATTAATTTTATAAAATATTATAATAAATTAAATAATTAATATAAATTTCATAAAAAAAATAATATTAGAAATATATATAATAATATATAATATATTTTAATAATATAATTTTAAAATCGAATCGAACCGGATCATCGAATTATAGAAAATCAAATAGTCTATAAACCGTAAGAATCGTAAACCTCTAAAATCGTGTATAAAATCTAATCGGAAAAATCGGACCCATTTTATCCTCCCCCAATAACTAATTAGAAAAATTACCTGAGAAGGGGTGGAACGAAAGCCAGCGCTTGCTTTTTGACTCGCGCGGGGACGCGTAAAACTCCACCTCATCCATATGGCATGGCTCAAACATGAAGTGCCCCAACATCAATAATTTCTATCGGGTCATAATTTTCCAATCATTAAATGGATCTTTTTAGGGTAAATTCCACGATTTTGTAACTTCTATATCCAAATATGTTTCCTATAATGTACTGCGGCATTGTGAAAAATTTTATTTCAAACTCCGTAAATCCACCTTTGCTTGCTCATTTATCTTAAAATAACGCAAGTTTGCTCCCACCTATTGTAGATAAATAATACCCGCTTTTTTGTGTGAACAGTGGTCATGTGACCTCTCAAAATCTAAATTGTTTTCTCCCCAGCGTGGTCCATGCTTCTCCGCGAAGTTCCGCAACATTTTGGCCGTACGGTAAGAAATCAAAACATAGCTCTACTCGCAAAATGGGCAGTGCAAACCCC